GAAATCAAGAGAAACTGCCTACGCCCACTCCAATCTCGATTTCACTTACTTGCAACAGTTTCCTGGACGCCTGTGGCTGGCCAGCCAAACAGAAGACAAAAGAGCCGCAGTGGTTCATTTTCTGGCTCATCACAGATCCACCAAGGGAAAACGAGGCCTGGGAATAGTGGTGGTTTAAAAAGTAAAAGTGTGATGACCTCTTTGTTTTTGTTTTTGTTTTTGAATCAAGGCCAGGGTACTGTGAGGGGTGATATGAGCACCCGTTGTAGTATTCCCGCCCAGTGCTCCTGTCTATTGGTGGGGAGCTTCAGCGGCTGGAAAACGGGTCTAGCCACTAGCGTCCCATTATGCAACATATACTGAAGGCTTGCACTAGTGTATACTGATGATTATAGAACTGCAGCATTGATTGCCCTGAGGACTCAGGGGATTAACTGCGAGTGCCACTGACCTAAGACTGCATCTTCAGCCCCAGCAGGGCTGCGGCCCCGCTGCCTGAAAAGAACTGCATAGCTGGCGGCTTGTTACCAAAAGATCAACAAGCAGGCCTAGAAGGGCCAGGGGGCATCCGGTCCTTCAGTGCAGCTCCCTTGTATTTGATCAGTCAATGATAGCAAGGACCATTACAAAGAGCAGGGATGAGAGACAGTTTAACACAAAATTGCCGATGCTAGAGCGACGAGTTAGTCAATTTCAGAAAAGTCACAGCCGGGTACCTTAGCAGTCCAGTCCAACAGGCACCCGGCAATCAGTCACATCTTAGGGGCAAAAATCACGTTTTATAATGGAAAGTCATATTGAAGAGTCACGTCCCACGAGTAGAAGGGCAGTTCCACAGGCAAGACTCGTGTCCCAGAGGCAGGAGTCACAGTCCACAGTCGAAACCATATGCCAAAATCGAAAAGTCATGACTCAAAGGCCCAAGCAGCAGCAGACCAATGGAAATTCGGTAAGGTTCCAGGCCTTGACATTTCGAAAGCTGACAGGCCGTGGGGATGTGGTGCCGGAACCCAGTCAGGCCCCAAGAAGCAGAGGCTGGCACGAGTTGAAGCGCAATCCAAGACTACAAAAGGACTGGCCAGCCTCCTCATTAGGCAGATAGCTCATTCGCATGAAATGTGGAAGTGCTGGTGCACTTGTGCACTATTGTGAGGGGCAGATCGCTGAAGCCACAGAGTGCTGC